TTTCTCATTTTACAATATGGATAGTCTGAGAATTTTCAAAATCTTTAGGTTTTGGTTCTTTTTGGCTTAACAAGTCCTTTGTTAATTCATTTCTCTCCTCATGCATTTTACTATAAGCAGCAAGAGAAATCAAGCTGTTCCTTCACTACTTTGCTTAGAAATTGCCTCAGCTGTCTAGGTGCTGTGGCTCATGCCTATAATCCTAACATTCTGGGAGGTCAAGGCGGAAGGATTGCTAGAGCTCAGGAGTTCAAGAGCAGCCTGAGCAAGAGCATAACCCCATCTCTACTAAAAATAGAAAAATTAACTGGGTGTTGTGGCATGCGCCTATAGTCCCAGCTACTAGGGAGGCTGAGGAAGGAGGATTGCTTGAGCCCAGGACTTTGAGGTTGCTGTGGGCTAGGCTGATGCCATGGCACTCTACTCAGGACAAAGGAGTGAGACTCTGTCTCAAAAAAAAAAAAAAAAAAATTGCTTCAGCTAACTATCCAATTTCATTACTTGCAAGTTCTATGTTCCACAAAACACTAGAATACAGTTCAGCCAAATTTTTTGCCACTTCATAACAAGGATCACCTTTCCCCAGTTTTCAGTAAGATGTTGCTTTTTTCCATTTGAGACCTTACCAGAGTTGCCCTGAAGAGCCGTATTTCCAGCATGCACCTCAAAACTTGTCCAGCCTCTACCCATTGCCTGGTTCCAAAGCTGGTTCTGTATTTTTAGGTATTTGTTTTAGCAGCACTACACTTCTTGGTACCAAAATCTGTAAGTCTGTTCAGGCCAGCATAGCAAAATACCATTGATAGGTAGCTTAAACAATAATGCTGATCTTATTAAGTGAGTTGGGCAGTGTACTCTTTTCCCGTATTTTCCGTGAGAATTGATTTGAGATTGCTGTTATAATGTTCTTAATATTCACTAGCAAAGCCATCTGGACCTGGAGTTTACTTTGTGGAAAGTTTTTAACTTGTGGAGTCAATTTCTTTACTAGGAATAGGACTATTCAAATTTCCTGTTTCTTCTTGTTAGGTTTTGTAATTCATGTCTTTCAGGGAATTTGTGTTTTTCATCCGTGTTGAATTTACCAGCATAAAGTTGTTTGTAATATTTCTTTCTTATGTTTTTGAAATCTATGTGATTTGGATTGATGTCCCCTCTTTCATTCCTGATATTGGTAATTTACATTTTCTCTCTCCGTTTTTCTTGATCAGTCTAGCTAGAGGTTTTTAAATTATATTGATATTGGTGTATACTGTTTTCTCAACTACTTGGGAGGCTGAGGTAGGAGGATTGCTTGAGTCCGGGAGTTCAGGGTTCTAGTACACTATGATCACACCTGTGAATAGCCACTGTACTACAGCCTGAGCAACATAATGGGATCCTAGCTCTTAAAAAATATATCGATCTTTTCAATAAACCAGCTTTTGATTTTATTGATTTTTCTCTATTGTGTGTTCATTTCCTGTTTCATTAATTTTTCCTATTATCTTTATTATTATCTCCCTTTTACTTAGAGTTTAATTGGTTCTCTTTTTTTTTATAGCTTCTTAGAGTGGAAGTTTTGATCTTTAATTAGATATGCTTTCTTTAGACCTTCTTTTCTAGTAT